GTTCCCTGACTGTACTGTAGGAGTATACAGCTGGCTGCAGCAAGAACTAAAAGAAGACCGTGAGAAAGTTATCAAAACCCCCGAATTAATCCTCAGACTGCCCTTCATAGCAGGAAAGACTACTCTGGGGATTGATCTCGAAGTATGCATTTGCATTTGCAGGCCGTTTCCTTGACGTAGCTACCTTTTCCACCTCGTCTGCACGGCCGTTGACATTGTGAAAAATACGTGGAAGCATGTTTCTGTGGTTGGTAAGAGGATGAAAAGGTGAACTAAAGTTGCAGTTGTGTGATATTGATATCAGGTTCGGAGGCTGAATCGTTTTCTTCGCTTTCCACAACTTGTCATTTGATAGTGGCCAGGCTTGGTTGGATTGTCGTTGTTCAACAATGGCTTCATTTTCGACATTCCTCTCATTTCCCATTCCCTTCATTCTTAATAACCCATTGGAGACACTGCAGTGTCTCCAATGGGTTATTCAGACTGAAGGGAAAGGGAAATGAGAGGAATGTCGAAAAAAATGTCGACATGTCGCTTGAGTGAAACTATATACTGCGTGGTCCTAGGAAATCTTATAATTTTGCAACTTCACAATAATAACAATAGCCACAAACATCCTACTTATATTTTTTTATGCTTCTGCTTTTTGGAGTATATCTACCTTCCGCACTAATTTGGACAGTTTGATTCCAGACCGGTGTTTCTTTGAGAAACATGTAGTCTCTCTGAAGAATTAGTGAGTGAGAAACTGATCCTCATCAGAGTCCATAAGTAGCTGACTAAAATTTAAGTCCCGCCTTCCATCATGGTAACCCATATCCTATCCTATGTGAATTCTAGTAAAATCAAACAATTCCCAACTCGAAATACAAAAAAGTGGTCGTCCCGCACCATGTAGTCCACATGTGGGTCGCAGCCCGCTTTTGCCGCCAAACGTGATTGTTGTCAATGGGTTAACTTCCTATGTTACCCATGCAAAAGCACCTAAAACATATTATGATACTTCTCAAGCTTGTGTATTCCACCAAGCACCAGAAAACGTCTATGCAATAAATTCCAGCCATCCACCGTTACACATTGTGAACGAAATATGCCTTCTAATTGAAATCCGTAAATAGTAAATAGTGAATTCAGTGCTTTATAGAAGACTTTGTCTGAACGCTGCATTACTTTCTTTTACAGAAGAGTTCGTTGACTGGAAACAAGCCAGCGGCTACTGTTAGTATGAACACTCAAAACAACGATCTTGTCTGTGTAGATACTCAAAAATCGATGGAAATCTTTATTGATTCCCATCTCTATAGATACTACCGGTAATACTTGCCTGATTTCTAGATTAAGGCACGAATGGCTATAAAGACATGTAAGGTAGTTCAGTAGAGGCACAGGTTGAGGTTAACATCGAGATTCAACGAAAACTGCCTGGAAAACCTCAGATGATCACGAGCGTTCAGATATCTTTTCATTGCACAAAAAAGCAAGTGGGGATGTGAATCCCCTGCAATTGAAGAACTTCTGTGCGATTTTCGATTACCAGGAACCCTTATCTGCATTCGCCGATCCGCAATGTTGCAATGAGCTGCAGCGAAGCCACGATCACACTCAACTGGCGACTAACGACTGCCCACTGTAAGTTGGTGATGATATTTATGCTAGGGAGTAGATGATGGCAAGTGACAGAGGTATAGGCACTACACGTAGGATAAACGCAGTGTCAAGCATCGTGTCGAAGGAAATGGACTCATGAAAATCGCTGAATTAATTCACGATTACTCTGAGTAATTTTCTCAAGTTAAGCAGGTGTTGGTAGTTATATAAATGCAAAACTGTTGGTACAGAACAGTGAGAAAACGAGGAAATATGCGAATTTTGTGAAAAAAAGTTTTCAAAAGAAACCAGTAAAAGTAGCTAGGTGACGGCAAAAGTGGTATGGAAGGTCATTTGGACGAGATTTTGTCGTATGCAATTGCACACAGAATTGACTACAGTTACCAAAAAAATGTCAGAAAACGCTTTTCACCAATGTGCAGCTTATACAGAACCCTCGAAACACCGCCATTTTTGGGTGTTGTACATAACGGAACACTTTTTAGGCCAGCTTTTTTTTTCCTCCATACCACTTCTCGACCTGATAACATGTGCTATCCGTAAGAATGCGAGACACTCGTCGCTCTAGTAAACGTCAGGAACCACTTTTACCGTGGAGATCCGTCCCTAAGGATTGAGCAAGCCACCAAATTTTGAGATTTCTACCAGTTGGATCGGCCAGCTACCGCCGGGCGCTCCTCCTTCTCGTGTAAAATTGCCCTGTCGTCTGCATTCCTTCCGAATTTAGATGCTCTTTAACAGTAGAACAGGAGGCAAGAAATAATCGGTTAGACACACACACGCACCTGACACACTTTTTGAGCACCTCGCCCGTCATGTGCGGAGTTCTGCTCAACTCATGTGTACTTAGATGAATTGATTCATTCTCCTCTTTTTTTCAACTTGTCTTCGCAAATTCACTGAGATTACGCATATTTTACGCACGCCCCGCCCTCGCAGACGGAGTCTGATCATGACACCCAGCATAAGTGGTTCCATCTTGTTTCCTGTATTCCTACCAAATTTGAACGCTCTAGCTCCACGGGAACAGGAGTTACGAAACTTAACATTAACTACGCGCAATCCCCACCCGCTGTGGGCGGTGTCCACTTCTGCCACCCACCATAAGTGTTCCCATCCTGTACTCCAACGGAGTCTGAACGCCCTATGGCCTAATTGACAAGTTTGACAAGCCATTGACGCAAACCCCGCGCACACTCTAAATCTGCTTTTCAACACAATAATTACTTCGGAAAGTTGTCGAGCTCAGCGATATCCGCTCTGAAGCTCTGGAAAGGAATGCTCGTGCTTCTGAAAAAATCATTCTTACTTACGCAGTCGATGAGCTCAAATGGATAAGTGAATACGACGCCCGAGAGCTCACTTCAAATGCCCACATGTCCACCATTATCCAAATTAAGTGCCCCCTTCGACGCTTAAAATGTCAAAACAAGGATGTTCACTAATGGTGATTCTTGTGGTTTTGATCTCCACAGAAATAAAGGGATAAAGTCTTTGGGCGTTGACCAATCCCGTCTGAGGGATTCGCCTCCGCATTCAACTCCATTCAGAATCGTGGTGGCGTATGTGGCCTATACATTGAGTTGCGGTGGCCAGCCTATGTATAAGCCAGTGCATTTATCCTTTCAGACAATTCTGGTATCAACTGACCAAGCCCGGAGAAATGGAAGGCTTGGTTGATTGGCATGGGCGGATATCGATCCGGGATTCGAACCCGTAACCGAGCTTGAGAGATAGGCGTCTCTCATCGCTATACCACCTCCACCCCTATTTCCACATAAACATACAATAATTTAATAAACAATTTTGAAATCTAATTACATTACAGCTGTAAAATTTTTACTACTTAAAGGCACGATTCACGATAAAAAGGTTACTGAGTTTTTCCTTTAGGAATACTCAGCGCCCCCCCCCCCCATGGGTGGT